CTATGTAGACCAGACTGGCTTGGACCTCACAGGGATCTGCCTACCTCTGCCTCCCAGGTACTGAGATTATAGGCATGTGCCACCTATAATCTGGCCTGTTTGCCTGATTTTCAGTTATGTATGTATGTATCTGTGTGTGGGTATATGCATGCAGATACCTGCAGTGTCCAGAGGCATCAGATCCCCCTGGAGCAGGTGTTACTGGTGGTTGTTAGCCATCCTACATGGGTGCTTAGAACTGAACTCAGGTCCTCTGCATCTGTAACAGCCATCTCTCCTGCCCCACTTTTAATCCCATATACAACATAAAATTAAAAAAATAGCCAAAAGGCTAGAGACTGTGATGTTATACAGTGTCTGACTGATTAATGCGCTTTTCCGTGGATTCTCTTGTTATAACTTACAGCAATCTCATGAGGAATCTTGTCTTTCCTGGTCTTATAAATGAGGACCCAAGGATGAGAGGTCTTAGGAGACTTGCTCCTGGTCAGACTTGCTTCTTTATTAGCTGTTACAGAGTACTGGCCTGCAGATTTTCAGCTTCTTAATACTTTTTAAGTGGTTTGACATTGGAATGCCTGTCAGTGGGTCATTTGTTCTCTGTGCAGCCATAGCCCTTGGCAATCTTCACCAATGCTGACCAGAGCAGCTGTAACTCATTTTTATTTGCCCAGGTCCTAAAGGCATTTGAAATAGCAACCCCTGCCAAATCTTGTCCATTCTTCACCTTGCAGTTGTACAGTTGGTATCAATTCCTGATGCAGGCCCAGAAATGAACGATCCTTGTACTAGTCTTCCATGCCAGATGCCCTCCTCTGTTCTAGTAAAAGGTAGAAAAGGCCTTGAACTTTGAAGGTCAAGGAAAAGCCTTCTGCTGTCCTGCCAAGCCTAGAAGTCCTAGGTTCTCCTACCCACAGTGTTATTGTGAAGGTCAGAGCCAGAGTGCCCTTACCTGTCCTGTTACCTGTTCTAGAGGAGAGTATAAAATGAGGTAGGTGAGTAAAACAAGGCAGGTGAATTTCCCCTCCTCAGAGGGGCTGGCTTCCCTGTAGCCATTTGTTTTCTAAAAGGCCATGAGCCCTTTTGAGTAAGCATTTCCCTACCTAGGTCAGGCTCACAGGGCCCAATCTCAGCATCTCCCTTCCTAGGATGTACTTTTTGTTTTCTTTTTTTCTGAGATAGGGTCTCATTATATAAACCAGGTTGGCCTTCAACTCACTGTGTAACCCAGGCTGACTTCAAATTCCTGGTCCTCCTGCCTTCACCTTTTAAGTGCTGGAATTGCAGGCATGCACCTGTCTGGCTGATACTTTTTTTTTTCCCTATCTGAAAGTAAATATGTTGAGTGGCAGATACCGCTTTGAGCTCTGGGGATTCAGCAGTAGGTAAGACAGGTAAGGACCTGTCATCTTGGAGCTTACCTGCTATTAAGAAATCTCTTGGAGCGCATCTGCTATTAAGAGAGGCAGGCATTAATCAGGTAACAATGGAATGTGTAGAGCTCTGCTGCCCTTCTGACACATATCTAAGATCCCTAGCAGCAGGGAGAGCCTATGATTGCTACAAGCAGAATCATAATAACAGCAGTACCAGGCACTGTTAATATGCTTTACATATTAATTTGCTTAATCCTCATAACAACCCTATCAAGTAGCTAGTGTTATTACCATTCTCATTGTATAAAACTGGCGGTTTAGTTATAGCCCTGCCCTGAGAAGTCAGTACAAATTCTCAGGACTAGTGAACCTGATGCTTGTACTCTTAAGTGAACAGTAGAGTTTTCTACAGCCTATTGACTTTCAAGTGCTGCAACTGTGTAAGACTAAAACAGAAGAAACTGAGCTCACCTCTATCAAGTAAGATATAGGTTAGACACTAGGAAGAACTTGTTGGTAACAATGATAGGATATGAGAGAAAGGAATCACTTATCTGGGAAATTTCTTCCCTCCTGAATTTTCCATATTGTGTAAATAACACTTTAAAATAGAGGAATGCGTCCAGGAAAGCAAAAAACACTTCATGACTTGTATTCCTTTCCCCATCTTGGTAGGTCAGATGGAGAGTTGTAGAAAGTTAGGAACTGGATTTGGTTCTGCCAGTGGCAGTGTAGAGGTAAAACTGAGTGACTGTCAGGTCACCTCCCTCCCCAGGCATCAACATCCAGTGTGACTCAGGACTGGGAGATCTGTCTAGCTGTGGCATCCCTGCTGAGTTCAGCAGGGAAGCAGGTTACCCTGTCACTATTCCAGGCTACTCTGGGTGATGTGGGGCAGGGGTGAAGCTGGGAGGGATTACCTGCTATTTTAGATTAAAGCAGCTGCCATCCATATACCGTGCAGAAAACAGGGAAGGGAGGAACAGAAGGGCAATGAACTGTAGGTAGAGTGAGCTGAATAAGTGAAATGGCTGTCAGGTGTGAGCCCTTCACTGCCTTTCCCTCTCCCACTGTGATCAGCTCTAAGTTGTGGGCTAGAGGTTCAGAAGTCTCATGAAACCAACTTCTTGGGTGCCTTAGGATGGCCTAGCCTGCTCTCCTAAGGATTTTTTTTTTTGACCTAAGAAAATATATTCTATGTGTGAAATGCTTTAAAGTTTGCAAAGTATTTTTCTCCCTCAATTTCCATTTTGATTTTCACATCCATCTTACATATAGGTAGGACAGTGTTATCATCTCCACATTTACACTTAAATTATGTTTAGAATCACCAGGTAGCAAGTGGGGCCTAGTGCTGACTGAGGTCCTTCCTGATCTCTTAAGCCCCTTGCACTTTCTCTTGGTTTCCTCAGAGAGCCTTCTGATTCTTTCTACATCTTTCCCTTACCTGAGCCTAGAAGCCCTGAGCAGCTCTCTCTCCTACCCATTGCTTAGAAAAATATTTGAGAAGTTCCCCTAGCTGACCCTGGGGACCCATGGTGAGTCCATTCTGTGTCCCTAGTAGAAGGTCTACCCCCTCAGGCTTGGTCTGAGGCTCTGGGACCCAGAACTTGTACAATGCCCTATAAGCTTCTTAGAGGAGGCGGGTATTAGGCAGGATTGGATATTCTTCCCCTGACTTGCCCTTCATACTCGACCCTGCCTTGAATTAAGATTCTCAGGGGAGCTGGAGGCGGGAGAATGGGGTGTTCCTCATTGTTCAGCTTCAGACCCACTCTTTGAGACCCTGGATTCTGACAAGTTTCCAGAACTTCAAAGACACAGATGTTGAGGTCTGAAGGTAAATGATATGCTTAGGCAGGACGGTTCAGCTAGGGTGCCAACTCAGCTCTCCTCCACAGGCACTGGGGAAGCAGAGAGCCCCTCCAGAGTTTCTGTAGGAGGCGCAAGTGGACTTGCTGCAAAGTGCTGAGTTCAAGGCAAGGGGCAGGGTGGCTGGGGAGAGCTATGGAAAGATTAGAGTGGTCAAGGACAAAGAAGTTCACTTATCCCTACTCTCCTTGCTAGTTCTCCATTTGCTTTTAAAGAAGGGACATTTGTATTTCTAATTAGTGTAGTATACTAGCAAGACCAGGGGATTCATGGGCTCATGCCTGGGGCCCTCTGAGTCATGCAAAATGAAGTGAGTGCACCTCTTTTCTGGACCTTAGTGTCTTTGTGCCTTACAGGGGGAGTTGTACCAGAAGAACCCTATGTATTACCAGCTCACTTCTGATACATTACAAAATTATTATCCATTGCAAATTAAATCATTTCCAGTTATTGTTGTATAATATCTGTGAACATTGAGTAGAGATTTAATAAATGTTTGCCTGGGTTGGCTCTCGGTGCCCTTTATAAAATAAGCATTCTTTGAGGTCTTTCTCCTGCACGCTTGTGTAAAACTAACTCTATTAGCACTCGATTCTGTCTAATACTTCTCATGGACTTAATGTGTATTTAGCTTCTCAGAATTCCTATAACTTAAACATTGCTATTTATATGGGCAATATTATTATGATTAAATTTAGATGTGCTGGGATGTAGCTCAGTTGGTAGAATGCTTGCCTAGCATGCATCAAAGCTCTGGGTTCGACCCCAAATACCACACAAAGTAGGCATGGTGGCACTAGCCTATAATTCCAGCACTAGGGAAATGGAGGCAGAAGGAGAGAGTCAAGGTCATCCTTGGCTACATATTGTGTTTAAGGTCAGATTGGGTTACATGAGACTCTGTCTCGAAAAAAATTACATTTAAATATTACAACATGCATGTGATAAAAAGATCAAACTAATGGAATATATAATGAAAACTCTCTTGTGACCTTTGGCCCTCAGTTCCCCTTCCCTAGATATTGTTCAAGAGCTCACCTTTGTGTACCAATACATAGATTAACATACCCACATCAATGAGGCACTAAGGTGAGCCTGCTCAGGATGGCACAGCTGCTAGGCAACAGAGCCAGAAGTCCTGGCTTTGGCTCCACTTCTCATTTTCCTTTCACCACAGCATTCTCCTAGGAAGCACCATGACACTGACTTTTAAACTTTTCCCTCTCTAGATGAGACAGTATAATAATTTTGAAAGTCCAACACGTACATGGTGTTTCACTTAATGTCCCTGGCAGTGCCACTTACTGCTTCCTCTTGCTAGCTACAGCTTAAAATCATGCCTCCCCATCTCTCCTTCTTACCCTTGAGAAGCTGAGCTCAATGGCTGGGCCTCAGCTGTGGATGACTGAGCTACCAGTATCTTAAGGCTTGGACCTTAAGTCCAAGTGCTAGTAAGAACAATTGGGAAGAATCCACAGAGCACCCCGGACCTACTCAGGAACCTGGCTGCTGGCATGCACACACAGTATGAGTGCTCTCTGTTGAAACCAGGCATTGTACCCTGGAGCAGGGGACATGGGTAGTTAGCTCCTAAAGAAGCAACAGTCTCCCACCACAAAGCCCTCAGTGTGCTATTCTTGTATCTCTGGGATTTCATGTTACATTTTTCTAGATGAGAGAGTTCTGGATCCCAGATCTCTTAGAAGTGAATAGCTTCTCTTCTTCTCTAGGTTTGTGGATACTGGCCGGGCTTCATGGAGAAGTCTTCCCTGATTACCAACTTGAATCCCACAGCAGCCTCCATCTCTCTCTGGACAAAATGAGAAGCTGACTGTAACCAGATGTAAGTGGCCATCATGGGGAAATTGATCAGGATGGGGGCACAAGAGAGGCGGTTACTCCGGCCAAAGAGGCTTCATTGGAGTCGCCTCCTCTTCCTACTGGGAATGTTGATCATCGGTTCCATCTACCAGCACCTGAGGAGACCTCGGAGCCTCCCATCGCCATTGACAGACGTCTCTCCCCAACAGCCTATTAAACTGGCCAACCAGGACCTCCCCATCAGTGAGATGATAGTGGTGAGCAGTGACCCCCCAGAAGCTAGCTCTGAAATGGAGGGTGATATGCTGGCACCCCAAGCCACAGGGGGCAGGAATGAAGCGACACCTAGCATAACAATGGATGATAACCCCAGTCCACCCAGAACAACAACCAAGATCACTCCAATACCACCAAAGAGTAGTGACAGCCCTAAAACAGCAACAATAGCAAGTTTGAAAAGAGGGAAGAAAAACACTCCACCCACACCAAACAGAGTACCAAACCACCTCATTCCAACTTCAGGCAGACAGAGAGTAAGAAGCTATACCCCAGCACTCAGGGGAGGAAGGAGGAGCTCCATCCCAACTCATGCCAGGGGAAAAGGAAGGAAGTACCCAACATCTCCAGCAGTGGCACCATCCACAGTCACAACAGGAGCAAGCCAAGTCATCACCCCCACGACGACAGGGAAAGAGAGTGAAGCTGTGGCAACCTATAGAACGTTGGTAATCAGATCTCCTAAGAGGATGGTAGGAGAAACCACCACAAATACTCTCAAAGGAATAGTTCAGAGCACCCCAACTTTCTTTACACATGAAGTAGAAACAAACTTTTTGACTTCTCTGGGTTTGGTGGAAATGAACACCCCAAGCAACCCCAGAAAAGGGGAAAATAATAGTTCTGTCAGACACCAGGGAACAGTCCCAGAGCACACCTCAGCCACCTCTGAGGGGCAAGTGACAATAAGCACCAGTCTGGGTAGCAACCTAGCAACCATCGAAACGTCTGTTGCTGCCTGGAGTGTCAGCAATCCCTTGTCCCAAACTAGTGCACCAAGTGTTAGAACTGCCTCAGCCGTGAATGGGGAGCTAGCAAAGAGACCTCACACAGCACACAGCACCTCAGTAACCCCCAAAGTCATCACAATCCTGACCTCCCAGGTCCGCCACTGTGTGGTTGTAGAGCCAGCTCTAGCCACACCCATCATCCCATCCCAGAGTGTGACAACCATCTTATTCCCAGATGCACCCAGTCCCAGTCCCTCAGATTTACAGCCTAGCTGGCCACACCTCTACCCCAAGGCAGAATATCCCCTAGACCTATTCAGTGTGGAGGATCAGCGGCAGGGCTGGGTGACTCTGCATGTCTTCGGCATGATGTGTTTGTAGCCTTGGCCATCGTGTGTGATGAGTACTTTGTTCCAGCTCTGGGAGTCATCACAGACAAGCTACAGATCTCTGAGGATGTGGCAGGGGCCACATTCATGGCAGCCGGAGGCTCTGCCCCTGAGCTCTTCACCTCCCTCATTGGAGTCTTCATCTCCCACAGCAATGTGGGCATTGGTACCATAGTGGGCTCTGCTGTGTTCAACATTCTTTTTGTCATTGGAACCTGCTCCCTCTTCTCCCGGGAGATCCTCAACCTCACCTGGTGGCCCTTGTTTCGTGATGTCTCCTTCTATATCCTTGACCTGTCCTTGCTCATCTTCTTCTTCCTGGATAGCCTCATCGCCTGGTGGGAGAGCCTGCTGCTGCTGCTGGCCTATGCTCTTTATGTGTTCATTATGAAGTGGAACAAGCAGATCGAGCTCTGGGTGAAAGAGCAGCTCAACAGGAGGCCAGTGGCCAAGGTCATGGCCTTGGGGGATCTCAGGAAGGTAAGGCAGGCTGTGGAGTGAAAGGATGGGGGAAGCTAAGGACTAAAAGGAAGAAAGAGCTGAGTCAGACCGCAAGAGGAGGCTGTGCTCTGTCAGGCATGATACCATGGCATTTGCAAATGTGACAGTGGCTTTATCTCAGTTACCTATAAATTGGTTACTATTATAATCCCTATTTGCAGGAGAAGACAGTGAGACTGAAAGAGAAGTTAAAACATTTGTTCAAGGTCACAGAGCACACAGTAGGGAGTGGAGTCAGGATTTGTAACAAGTACTTCATCAACTAAGCAATCTTTTCCCAAACTCCAGGATTTGAACTCACCTTGGTCTTTGGAAATAGCATTTGAGTTGGCTTTGGAGTATGTTTGAGATATCAGTCAGGGAAAGATGGTGATCTCTTCCATGTACACAGAGCTCAGGGTTTAGGTAATGCACCTATACTTTCATTAAGTCTGTTTGTTCACATTCCAATCTTGGAAAGGGGTGTGGCTTAGGTGGGGCCTCAGGTGGGAGAGGTTTATCTGTGGCATGTGAGTGGTATGTGTGGGTGGGGGGGATGTCATGTTCCCCCCAATATTGGAGATGAGAGGAGCTCCACTCACTGACAAGCCAGTCAGGTCAAAGGCTGCGTCCTCTCTGTGTTCACTGGAGTCCTGACATCAGGAATGCCACTCCTGGGGGCTTCCCTGTCCCTGGAGCTCTGTTCTAAGAGCTTCTCTGCCCCCTCGAAGGGCTTCCCTGCTTAAATTCAGGCAATGTTTCAATGACTTGAAAGCTACTGTTAAACTGGGACATGACCTCTGAAAGTACGTCCTGGAGTCCTGGGTTCCAGACTCAGAGTAAGAATACCCTAGGAAATAGGGACCCCCTTCTATTCTGCTTCTGAGGGGTGGGTTTAGGTAAAGGCTGGCTCATGACCTGTCTCTTGGGTTTCAGAGAGGCCACCAGTGGGAGCAGAATTTTGAGAGCAAAGAGTACAAGGACTTAGCTACTTAATTCTGAGCAGTTTAGATGAGGGAGATTAACTGCACTTCCTTTAGAAGTTTTGAAATAATATGATTTTCTGGTCAGAACATGTAACCAAGAACCAGAACTCCTGTTCTAACTGGTGCTACCTTGAATTAATGGTGTGACCTTGGGCAGGTTCCCTCTCGTCCCTTCCCCAGACTCTAGGAGAAATGAAAGAGTCCAGTTAATCATCAGAAAGTCCTGTCTAACTCTAACTTTTGTGATAATGTCTGAGTCCAAACAAGTTCAGCTCTGGCAGAATCCAGCACAGTGGTTATTTGTCTGGTCTGATCAACCATTTGCACATGGAACAGAAAGGAGAAAAGTCAGCGTCAGAGCTGACTGGTGTTTGAACTGGAGTGGGGAGGCAGCTGCTCCTGATTCTGTACTGTTTCTTACCAGACAGCTGCTCCAGGAAGCCACAGGCTTAAAGAAAGGGTGACTTCTTGCTGCATAATTTAAGCTGAGGAAGCAGGAGCCTTTCTCCTAAGAAGTTCTCGGGACAGGCCTTACTAAGAAGTCCTGGCCTCTCCTCTCAGAAAATCCCTGGTGTGAATCAGGCCAACAGTGTTAAGAATGCCTCTGACTTGCCTCCTAGTTCTTTGTACTAATTCTGCTTTCATTTAAACTCAACACATTCTTAATTTTCCATTGCATCAGATTGAGAGCATCAAAGCAAAGCTTGCCAAGCAAATGAGGTAGAATTGTGATTTTAAAAGAGAATTTGTTGGGCTGGAGAGATGGCTCAGCTGTTAAGAGCACTGACTGCTCTTTCAGAGGACCTGGGTTTGATTCCCAGCACCCACATGGCAGCCATGAACCGTCCTTAACTCCAGTTCCAGGGGAATCCAAAGCCCTCTTTTGACCTCCCTGGCATTGCGTGACCCGGGTGCACTCACATACACACAGGTAATACACTGATACACATAAAATAAAAATAATAAATAAAAAATATATATGGAGACAGAGAGAGAGAGAGAGAGAAAGAATTTGTCCTACTTAAGAAGCTCTTGAAGGCTCTTTGCCAACCAGCAGGCAGGGTGTGAATTGTAACTCTGTTCTTATCTCTGTGTTAGAACAAATCCAGTAGGATTTTTTTTTTTTTTTTTTGGTCTTTTTTGTCTTTTTGAGACAGGGTCTCTCTGTAGCCCTAGCTGGCCTGGAACTCACTATGTAGACGAGGCTGGACTTGAACTCATAGAGATCTGCCTGCCTCTGCCTCCCGAGTGCTGGATTTAAAGGCGTGTGCTATCATGCCCGGCTAAATAAATAAAGGATTTTTAATTGACAATATTATTAAGCCAAACTACAGACTACACTTGAAAGTAAATCCACCATTATTTAAGATTAGAACCCCATAGTTTGGATGTACAATGACTAACATCCATCTTTCAGAAATTAGTCTAAATAACGTAAAAACTATAGCTATTTAAAAATGTTTTTTAAATATGTGTGGATTTAGAGTTTCACCCTGGATTACTTCTAGCTACAGAGAGAGTGAACCAACCACCTTTGCTTATGTCTTCGTTTCTGTGTTTAGCTGGCCAAGGTCTATGGTCTGATTAGAGGGACATAAGTTATATTGCATTTTATTGACAGTGTGAAGGTAAACCATGGAATTCATGTATGGATTTCATGAATCTGTATGGAATTCATGAAGCATTTCTACCCAAATTCAATCTTTGACCTAGCAAACAACTGCTGATTTTCATTTTGTTTTGTGGTTTAATGTATGTCTGTGCCCACCCTACAGGGTGTTTTATCTTACCTATGACACTATGAAAAAGTCCTCACCTCCCTCCCTCCATTCCTCTATCCCTCCTTATCTCCATCCTCCCTCCCTCCCTCTTACTTGTCCATGGCTTTCCCTGACTAAAGGGAAGTACTTAAGCTAAGTACTTAAGCATAGTTGGAGAAGTCAGGGGCCAGAGAAAGTGGGCTTCCTCAATCAGTCATGACTCTGAAATTGAGGAAATCAGAGTGAAGTGGGACAAGGCAGACAGAGTGGTTGGGAGTCAAGGGGCAGGACTGGTGAGGTGAGGTCCTGGTCACAGCATCCTGGGAAGTCCTAAATGAGGGACAGAGAGAAGCAGCTCCTTTTTGGAGAAAAACTTGGACAAAAAAGATACCTGGGCCTCCTCCTTCCTCTGTGTGACCACAGTGTCAGCTTCATCATGGCCACTAAGTGAGGAAGTGATCTTTGTGTCTTCCAAAGACCTGAGCCCAGAGTCTTATTCCATAAGTATTTGGCTCAGTTAAGAGACTCCAGTTTAGTGAGAGAAACGAGTCAGGAAGGGAATCCATGCTTATGAAGAACCCATTCCATGTATCAAGTGCCCCAACAATTGCTTAGTAAACTCTACAGGACTAGGGTATTAGCCCTATGTTACAGAGAAGAGACCTAACCCAGCCAAAGTCACACAGCTAGCTACCGACACTTAGTGCTGATCATGAATCTCTTTATTAGGTTTAACTCAGGTGCCCTGCTAACTATCTGTGAACTTTGAGCAAGTCAAGGCAACTCAACAAAGCATTTATCTGTAAGTGCTTGAATGAAAAGCAGTGTGAGGAATAGAAAGATTTTTATCTTCCAACAGTAGGGACAGGTTCAGAGAAAATTATCTGGCATGAAGAGAATCCTATGCAAAGTGCCACAAATCACACTGCTGTTCATGCATGCAGGCCTTTGATTGCTTGTTTGTGAAGTGAATGGGCTGGAACAGTACAGGCCTTGGCAGACTTTTTCTGGAAAGGCCAGACAGTAAATATCTTCTGCTTCGTAAGCTAGAGTCTCTTTCACAACTCCTCAACTCTGTCCTTGTGGTGTGAAAGCAGCTTCACAGCAAACAAATGGGTGTGGCCATGAGGTATTTTACCTCAGTAGCTGAGCAGCATCTAGGTGTTCTCCCACCTGAAAGACTGGGAAACAGCAGAGGGCAGCTGTTCATTTCTTACTGAATTTATCCAAAGGATGCAGTTTCTGAGCTGGAAAAGCTTTCATTTTACTTTGCATTCTGTCCCAAGTACCTAGAATCAGAATAATGGGGTTTCTTGGGGACAGTGATTCTAATCAGAATGCATTTAAGAATATTTCGAGAAAAGACTTAGTATTAATATTATATATGGTATTTTTATATTTATTATTTTTATTTTATGTGTGTGAGTGTATTGCCTGCATGTATGTAAGTGCAGTTGTGTTATGCAATGCCCATGGAAGTCAGATGAGGGTGTCAAATCCCCTGGAACTGGAGTTAGAGACCTATGTTAGCTGCCATCAGGGCTGGGGAACCAAACCCAGGTTCTCTGTAAGAGTAGTCAGTACTCCTAACAGCTGAGCCATCTCTCCAGTCCCTATATATGGTATTTTTTATTAAAAAATTTTTTTTTGAGATAGGGTCTCCCAGTAGCCTCAGTTGGTCTGGCTCTCACACATCTGCTTGTTCTGCCGAGTGCTGGGATTAAAGGTGTGTACCACCATGCCCAGCTTTCTTTTTAAAAAAATTTAACATTTATTTTGTGTGCATGAATGTATGTGCACATGTGCGTGCACATGTGTATATATGCATGCATGTACATACCACAGCATACATGTGGAGGTCAGACACCAACTTGTAGGATTCAGTTCTCTCCTTCTATCTTGTGGGTTCAGGGGATCAGACTCAGGTCATCAGGCGTGGTGGCAAGCACCTTTACCCTCTGAGCCATCTCACCAGCCTGTATATAGTATTTTAGAGCATCTCTTTTGACACTAACTGGAAAAAAAAAATCCAAAGCTAAAAATATTTAAGACAACATTGCCAAATTCACACATACTGGTTTGAGGGGGCCTTTTATGATCCCAGTAAGGCAACAGTTAACGTTTACATAGCTGTTGACATAGTCTCTCTTAGCTGTCTCTGAAACTTTATTCTGGGTTTTTAAGCTCTTTATGTTATTTTTTTTTTTCTGGCCCCAAATGATAACTCACTGGACTGTGCTGCATGCATCATCACAGAAAGCCAACACTCAGCAGATCTCTCACTGTCATGGAAGGGCGACAGGCCCCTTTTCCTGTGGAGTGAGGAGCTTAGGCAGGGAGGAGCAGGCATCAGCAGCAGGGCAGCCCTGTAGAGTGCCAGTAGTAAGGAAGGGCATAAGGCTGTCTGCACTCTTGTGGAAACCTGTCTCTACAGTTTGTCCCCAAGAATACCTCAGGATGTGAAGCTTGGGGAAAAGCCTAATGTTCTGTTCTGAATGCTTTGGGGGCTATTTTTTCCCTGGCAGGATTTAAAAAAATTCCCCAAGCAGACAAACTCAGCCCTTCTGGAGGGGCTGGTCTTCCCATTTCTCATCTCAGGGTGCACCCATCAGTGGCCTGTATAGCCAGATGCTTGCTGTAGAGACAGGAAGCTATGGACTGGAAGCAGGCATGGTGTCTATAAAGAACATGCATTCTAGATGCTCTGCCACCTGAACTAACTGGAAAAATAAAGCCAACAAGCAACTGTTTGGTGTCTGGAATTGGACATATGGATGATAAATAAGAGTGATAAATTAAGAGAATCCCAGACTGTGACAAGTACTTCAAGAGAAATGGAACAGTGCACATGAAGGAAAATGACAGTGTAGTGGGATGCTCTTGCTGAGGGAGTCAGAGGAGACCTCTTAGGAGAGAAGTCTAAAGAAAGAGCTGTAGAATAGAACAGGCTCCTGGAAGAAGGAAGAGTACTTGCAAAGGCTCAGATCTGGAAAGGCCTGGCCTATCAGAGGAAAGAATGGAGGTGAGTGTGCTAGCGGGCAAGGGAGAAAATAGCACAGGGGACAGCTGGGGAGGATGAGGGAGTTAGAGATTAGATACTGGGTTTCATCTGAGGCTCAATGAGGGAATAGCAGAGTCCTATTTTCTGAATGTCATTCCATAATTGCTGTGGAGAGAATGAATTGTAGGTGCATAAGCAAGGAAGTGGGAGTAGCAGGGGGTCTGATTAGGAGGCTGTTAGGGACATCTAGCTCCCCCTCCACTTATCTGCAGGGGATACAGTCCATGATCCCCAGGAGATGCCTGAAGCTACAGACAATGCCAAACTTTAAATATATATCATTTACTTTACAGCTTTTTTTTGGCATATCTAAATTTCCAGCATCATTACTTTTGTACTCTGAGGCCATTATTAGTTAAGATAAGGGTCACTGGAACACAAACACTGTGATACCAGGACAATCTGATAATCAAACTGCTACCAAATGACTGACAGGTGGGTAGCATATAGAAAACATAGATGTGCTGAACACGGAGATGTTCTAAGCAGGATGGACAGGGATGGCATTCAGTGCAGCATGCAATTAAGAAGTTATGAATTGTGTATTTCTGGAATTTTTCATTGAATAATTTTGGAGCATCATTGAATGCAGGGTATTGAAACCGAGACAAGTGAAAATGGGTAAGGGGTGACTGCTACATTGCACACAATAATCTTTGACTGATGTTTGAAGACATAATCCACCTGAACTTGGTGATGAAGAGGAAAGGCAGGAGAAATGAAAGACGATGCTATGCTTTTTGGCTAGAGCAGCAGAGAGGACGGTGGCGCCATCACAGAGAAAGGGAAGTCTGGAGGGGAAATGGGTTTAGGAGACTTAGGAACTCCAGCTCTGGAGAGGTGAGTTGGGGTGCCTAGATTAACTCCAAGGAGGCAGTTACACATATGAGCCTGAAAGTCAGGAACAAGGTCTAGGCATTAAGTAGGAATCACTAATAAATGTTTGGGCATTAAAATCAAGGTAGAGTCAACGTTCTGTGAAAGAGAGAAAGAGCAGGTCCTAAAGAGTCCCAGCTTTCACTCACGGCCTACCTTTGTGTGAACCCTGGTCAGGTCTGAGATACAGCAACAAATAAAATGCAGTCCCAACTCATATGGAGCTCAGCCTAATGGAGGAATTGGAGTTGGTCCAGGCTTTGTGAGACCGGATACTCATTAAGAAGAATATAAAACCACTATTACAAAACTAGATGTGTAAGGGAGAAAGGCCCCAAGGCTTCATCAACTCTATAGTAAATTCTCTACAGTGGGGAAGACAGAGAAGTCAAAGCCAATAATTACAGCATCATGTGGAAGTATGTAGGCAACAGCTGAGGGATTCAGTTCTGCAGAGGGTCAGGGAAGGCCTCTGGAGGAGGGGACGAGTGAGTCTGGAAGGACAAGCAGGAGTACGCTGAAAGGGTGGAAGTCCTGTCCTTCGTCAAGGCCAGAGGAATGTGAGGGGTCTGTGGGGAATGTGAGGTTGTAGCTGCACTGTGCAAAACGTGGCCACAAATTATGTGTAGTTTGAGCACGTAAAATGTGTCTAGATGTGCTGTAAGTGTAAGATACATACCAAAGGCTTAGTACTAAAAAAGAATATAGAACACTTCAATTTCTTTATGTGAACTGCATGTTGAAATTGTATTTTTAGAGGACTGGGGGCATAGCTCAGTGATAGAGCACTTTGTCTGGCATGTGTAAGGCCATGGGTTCTAGCCCCAACATAGTAACAGCAACAAAATTTGGAGATGAAGGAAACACTGGGTGTAATAAATATAATATAATTAAAATAATATATAATATAATCTCACTTGTTTGCAGTGCTGGACTTCTGGTAAGCAAGAGGCTGGTCTGCAGAAAATTTAAGCCTGGACTCTCTCCTGGGGACAGTGGGCTTCCAGAACATAGAGGAAAGACAGAATGTGCTGTGCTTGGAAACACACTGTGGCTGAGGGGTAGAGAATAAACCAGAAGGGGGCAGATCCAGGGTCAAGAGGCTTTGTGGGTTTGTAGGCAGGAGAGTGGAGACCAGATCAAACTACCAGAGACCAGGTTTGCCAGATCACTGGTGTGGGCTATGAGGGGAAGGAAGGAATCTGAGAAGGTTCCCAGGCTTCCTGCATCTGCAAAGGATAGATCAGGTAGGCAAGGCTGACCCAGTGACTGGCTTCTTCCTGAAATAACAGGTAGAAAGCCAGACTCAGACCAGAGATGCAGTGAACAGTTGAATGAATGTTTAAGAAATGATCACATTCATTCAACAAATGTTCACTGCATCTCTGGTCTGATGATCACAGCTGGGCGTGGTGGTACACACCTGTAGTCCCAGCACTTGGGAGGCAGAGGCAAGTGGATCTCTATGAATTCAAGGCCAACCTGGTCTACATAACGAGTTCCAGGCCAGCTGGGGCTACAGGGAGACCCTGTCTCAAAAAGAAAAAAAAAAAAAAAAAAAAAAGAAAGAAAGAAAGAAAGAAAGAAAGAAATGATCACTGATTAAAATGTGAGGTCAGGAAATGTACCAGGGACAGTCTAGAAGAGGAATCACTACATCATTGGGAAATGGTCATTGGAGGACAAGCTCCTGAGGACCACCTCAGTTTGCCACCCAGGTTCCCATAGGTAGCTACAAGAGACCATTGCTCAGCCTCAGTGGGTAGAATCACAGGTGCTAGAGTGCTTGGCTGCTATGAAGACAGGATCTTCTCAGCTCCTTTGCTAATTTTTGTGAGAAGATGAGGGTGACAGGGCTTCAGGAAGAGGAGGTCAACTGCTGTGGGAGGGGAATGCAAGAGCTTGGTGTCGGGGATAAGGGTGTTTTCAGAAAGTACCTACTTTGCCAGAACTGCTAAGGGGAACCCTCAGCCACGCCCATGTGTTCTTAACTGCTCAGCCATCCCTCCAGTCCCTTACCATACAAATAAATTGGGGAAAATGTGATGAAGGAAAAAAAATAGGTGTGTATAAAAGAGAATCACAGAGGAAGGTGATGTTTAAATGAGACTTGAAGCATGAGAAGTGAGGAGGAAAAGCAGGACAAGCAGGGAGGAGCCTGGTATGCACTTTCCAGGTGGATGAAGAGGGGCAGAACAGAGGAGCTGCTGAAGGGCAGTGGGGCATACTGAGGTGTTTCTGTGTTGCACCTGAGGCTTCCCTGGAGAGAGGGAGAAGAAGGGACAAAGAGGGAGGGTCTCTCCAGGGCATCTTCTGATTCTCTGCTGAATTCCTGTTCCCTTTGCAGCCTGGTGATGGTGCCATTGAGGAGAATGAACCGCAGGATAACAAGAAACTGAAAGTGGGTGATTTATGGAGTTTGCCCAGTGGGGACTGTATAGGGGTCTTGGTGTGAGTAGGGACATTGCAGAGTCTTGCAATGTAAGTGGGGACACTGCAAGGTCTCAGCATACATCTGCATACCCAGGCAGCTGTAGTCCTGATGCTGGGAACCTGGCTGATTCAGTGAGGCTTGGAGGCCCCTATGAAGTGGCCAGGGAGAGCCAGGGAATGGGCTGAGTCGTAGGGGCCTCTTAGCTCAATATGATCTAGGAGGTGCTAGTTTGGGAGATAAATCCTGAACATCACAGGTCTCTTTGTCCCTGGCCTCTTATGCGACCTCAGGTTCTGCATCTGTAAGATACAATTTGGACTAAATAAACTCAAGTCCTAGTTTCCAGTTCCAGTATTGAATTGATAAAAATCTCAATTACTGATGGCTTTAGAATGTCCAGGACTAAGGAACTAGGAGGAGCACTGGAGGAGGCGTGTCCCAAGGTTTCCGAAGAACTGCCCTACCTTATAGAAAGCATTGTGGGGCACTTTGAAAGGAGAGGCTGGGGCTGAAACCTCCCCCATTCAAAGAAAATTTCCAAGTCTGCTGTGAAGTAATGGTTACAGCCATCAGGTGGCGGAAGAGTTCAGCTGGAGAGGGATGGGGAAGGAGAACAGGGCAAACACTGGTATCTTCCATTTCAGATGGTTTTTCTGTGTCAACTATGTGTGTGTGTCACATCTGTGTACAGTACAGATATGTGTATGTGGGAGCCTTTGAAGATCTCTGGGCACTACAGTGAAAAGTCAAAGTGGGATGGCAATCAATAGATCTGGATGCCAGTCTGATTCACTTCCTGCTTGACTTTGGATACAATACCTCCCTTCTTTGAGTTTTTTTCCTTTTCTATGTATGGGGCTCCTATCCTTGCTTGTCTCTGGGTGGGGGGCAATGACAGAACACAGTCAAGCTTTTGCGAACTGTAAAGGGCTATGCCTGGGTGCAGTGGTCTCCCTGTGTGGCATGTGGATAAGGGTATATTTCTGTTTGCAGGGAGGTGCAAATCTTCCCATAATGTGGCATCCTTAATACACATGGTCTGCTCTCCAAGGAGGATGTAGGACTCATGCAGGGTGCAGAAGAGCTGGTCCTGGAGGAGTCAAGAGAGGCTGAGTGAGAGTTGGAGGTGAAGGAAGCAGGAGCTCAGGGCAAGGCATTGGGCCTTCTCTGTGATCTCTGTGGGAAGGAGGCAGGCTGGGAGGCAGGCTCCTGTAGCTCCTCCCCTGGCTCTGACAGGGGGCCACTGAGGCCTGTGTGGCTCTCCCCTTGCTCAGCTACAGTCGATGTTGATCCACGGGGGCAGCTCAGCTGCCTCTCTGCACAACAGTATCATCCGCAGCACCATCTACCACTTCATGCTCCACAGCCTGGACCCTCTGGGGGAAGGTAAGCAAGGCCTGCCCAGACCCACTGGTTAGCCCCACACATGCCTCCCCTCCTGTAGCTGGAGAGGAGCTGGATGCAAATGCTGTAGGCAGTGGGCTGGGGGTGGGAGGAGAGTTTGCAGAGAAGAGAGAGGGTAGTACAGGACCTGACTCAACAAGAGAGGGCCACATGGAACATAGCTAGGGCCCTTGTTTTCCTGCCTTAGCATCTGTCCTAGTTTACTTTCTTTTGCTGTGATAAACACCATGACCAAAAGCAACTTAAGGGAGGAAAGGGTTTATTTCATCTCACAGGTTATATATAATCCATCATAGAGGGAAGCCAAAGTAGGAACCTGGAGGCAGAAATTGAAGTAGAGACCCTGGAGGAATGCTGCTTACTGTTTGCTCAGCTGGACTTTTTATACAGTCAGGCCTACCTGCCTAGGAATATGTACCACCCACAGGGGGCTTGGCCCTCCTGCATCAAATGGAAACCAAGAAAATGCCCCATAGACATGTCCACAGGCCAATTTGATGGAGAAAAATTCCTTAGTGGAGCTTCCTTCTTCCCAGGTGTATCAAGTTTGACAACCAAGATTAGCTATCACAGTGTCCTGGCATCCTGATACTCCAGGAAGACCAGCTGGGTGCCAGGACACCTTGAGGGACCACAGTGGTCATAGAGGTGGCCTACTGGGGTCTGTGTTGGGATAGCGCCAGTGTCCCACAGGCTGACTGACCAGGGATGCTTCTGGGGATACCATAGCTTAGAAACTGAGTACCATTTCCCTTTACTCTGTATTTGGCTTTGGAGTCCTAGGAAGCTTGTTTTCCCCAATCCCCTTCAGCCAGGAATCCAAAAGGACACCTTGGGAGCTGTCATAACCACTTCTGGGGGTGGGGCAAGAGCAGTGTCTAAGGTGCAGCGAGGCTGATGTTGAACTTGATGATGGCAATAGCAGAGAGTCCAGAGAATCTCACGGTCCACATTACCAAGTCCTGTCTTCCCTCTCCCTTCCCCAGGCAGTTGCCCCATATGCCTCTTGGGCCTACAGTTTGCCTTTCAGAAACTCTCCTGTTCCCCTTGCCTCCCCCCTCCCCCCTTTTCTGGGTTTCTGGGGCAGAACTGGGCCCAAGACTAGCTTTGGGCAAAGCTAAGGGTATGCAGTTAGGTAGGAGAGACTAGATATGGCATGAAAGAATGAGCTGTAGGGAGACCCCTGACTGGTCTTTCTGGTTAAGGGACACATTTTAGGAGCTCAGAATTTTATCAGATTTGAAAATAAGCCCTTCAGACACAATATGGGGTATCAAGTGTTTAAAACACATATGTTGTAGTGGGAAAACAGTCAAAGATGAGGTATTAAGACCTCTCTTAGAGATTCTTCCAGTGAGCCTCAGCAACATGGTGACAGGCCATCCCAAAGTATGGGCTCCAGAAGAACAGCACCTCTGGGGTTCTAACTCAGTCTTCAGCCCTAGGAGTCCTCAGGTGATGAGGGCTTGGATGGACCTGGCCTGACCCAAGGAAGGACTCCAAGTCATGCCTGATTACTCCCAGAAGAACCACTGACTCGAACCAAGTCCTGTAGATAAAGGACCTCTCCTGAATGGGCCTGTGAGGTTCCCTAACCGGGCCACCTCTGTGACTAGCAATTGCCTGCTGGCCTACTTGTCCTAACAGGATTATGTGATGTTCAGGCCAGGCTGAGGTCAGAGGAGATTGGTGCTAAGGAGATGATCAGGCCAAACTGGGTGGGAAGAGGGCATATGAGGGAACCAGTGCTGGGTGAACTGGCAGCAGTCATCCCAGAAAGACCTGGTATAGACTGTGAGTGTGGTGAGCCCGGGGCCACCCTCAAGGTGAATGACTGCAGAAGTGCTATGGAATGCAGTCCTGCTCTGAGCTTGAGCCTGATTCTTTGCCTGGAGACTCTGTTCAGGAGGGGCTGGGCCCTCCCAGGCCTTTGTTCCTAAGCCTCTCCAGATGCCTGTTCCAGATAACAGTCTAGATGCTTCTGCCCTTCCCAAGTCCAGGTCTCTCCACAGAGCTGACCAGTCCAAGAGACATTTCCTGTGCTCTGAGCTCTCACCTCCCTGTGGATGGGGTTTCCTCTTGGGTCCCATGCTTCTCTTATGTTCTCACTCAGATATATGTAAGAGAAAGCAGTGGTGGAAGGGGGAGGGTGTCATCCTGCAAAGACCTGGTTTCCTCAATGGCATGGGAAATAAGAGGTCAGGGCAAGTGATGAGTGATGTTGAGTCTCTCCAGCCAGCAGTCATCAAATGTGTCAGGGCCAGGACAGGGAACCAAGGGTGGCCTCCTTTTTTGATAGCTACCCTCTGCTCAGCAGGAGGCTGCAGCAATTGATTAGTGTCAAGAGGGTGTTGGGTGTTCTAGACAGATGAGACAGAGGTGTCCTGGTGCCCTGACCTTCCAGTTGGGTACCCAGTTGGGTACCAGGACATCTCAAGGGACCACAGGGGCCATATAGGTGGTCCTGCAGATGGTGCTTACTACTAGAGGCAGCTGTAGTTGGGTAGAAAAGAGGAAATACCAGGCCCATTTTTCTATTTCCTGCCTATCATGGACCCAGTCAGAGGCTTCCACACGCCCAGCTTCCCAGACTGCCCCTACTCAGCATCATTGTAGTCTGCCTGCATTCCTCACTAGATGATCTCCAGGGTCTCCTCCAATTCAAACCCTTTGGAATCCTGGGGGTCTTTACCACATAGCTATTTCCTGGGTGGATGGCTGCTCACCATTACTGCTGTCAATTCACCATCATCAAAAATACGTAATCATGTATAAACACAGTCATGTATAAATTAATTGACTCTGGAAGGCTTTACAGATAGAATTTGAGGGACAGAGGGGCTTAAGGAATCAGCTAGCTCAGGTCATAGCTACAGTGCAAGTGGCCAAGCTAGGATACACACCAAGGTCCTCAGGCTTCAACGTGTGTGTCTAATGGTGTGGATAAGGCACTGCAGTGGTTAGGCACTCTTGACTTCCAGAGACCTATGTCAGTGCTCTGGGAATATCATGGTGTTGCCTTTTTTAGAGGATATACAGGCTTTTCAAATAATCTGGTGTTCATGGAAAGAGCTAGCCTGAAGTCCAGAACAGAAACTATGTGGGCATCACTTTGTTTTCTCATCCGTGTCACTGCCCTGTCCTTCTGCCCCCGCCTCATGCCGCACAGCTGTCAGGAGGACCTCCTGAGCTCCCACTTCTCAGGCTGGCCCTCTTTCTTTTGTACCTCAAAATTACTTATGGAAGTACTTTGCATGTTGCTCGGTACATAGTCATGTAGGAAGTGAGGTGTCCTCCCTATTTTTCTTGCCTGGAAATCTGGGCAGCCATTCTGTGCCTGCCACAGGCTTACAGGTCTTCAGTAAAGCATAAGCATGGGGATCCCAAGGGAGGCTCCACTTGGGATCTGGGTGTCTAGGAATCAATAGAGTGTGACTAAGAGTTGATTGCCCACCCTATCCCCTTCTGCACAGTTGGGAAGACTCATATGCATGGCTACTAGTAGGCCCTGGAGCATGGTGCACAGAATGTGCTGCCCTGACTTCTCTTAGCTTTGTAAAAAGTAAGCTTCAAGGGACCTTACAGATCATCTAGTCCATAAATGGCAAAAATGGCCTCTCTGCCACTGTTGCTCCACTCTCTGTCCATCACAGGCATCACTGATTGATCCTGGTAGGGAATCTTTTACCAAGTTTGGGTCAGACACTTCATTTGAGCTTGTAAAGGAAGTAAGTCCTATGTGCTGGTCCCAAATCCAGTCATGTCTTTACCAGAGAGGAAACAGGGGGAGCAACTTGCGCAAGGTTACAGCCAGTTAGTGATGGAGCAGAGACTTAGGCAAAAGTTTACAAATTGGGTACCATGAACAGGCCTCACGGGATCAGATGCAGACATCACAGGCTCCAGGCCAGCTTCCCTGCCCTACCTCTGCCAGGCAGCTTCCCTGCCCTACCTCTGCCAAGCAGCTTAGGGGCCTAAATGAAAGGCAGGGTGCAGATACTGTGGTCCCAGATAAGACATTTTTCCTTTCTTCTTCACAGACCTCCCCTCCAAGGACAAGCAGGAGAGCTTGAATCAGGAGGCCAGAACCCACTCTCAGACCAAAGCAGAAAGAAGCCCAGATGGTGAGAGGATGGCCAGACTGGCTGATTTCTCCTGCCACTGCCTGCCTCATACTGTAGCCAGGGCAGGTCAAGGACTGAGGCACATGTCAGCCAGGGCTCACTTAGAGGCATCTCCTGTGCTCTTTCTGCCACTGGCTCCCTGCAGATTCCCCCTTGCTCTCCTCAGATGGGGCAGGAAAGGAAAGGCCAGAAGGGCACTCAGCTCCCACATCTTATTCACTAAACTTCATGCCAAGTAAGACTCTGTTTCTTACTGTGACTTCTACACAAGGACACTGTTGCTAGTGAGTGATCTGAAATTGCTAACCCTGGTGAGGGAAGGTGACAGGAGCCTAGTGACAGAAGCCTAGCATCTGTTGGTGGCTAGGACTGGGGAAGTAGGACAAGTGATTACCTTGTGGGCTCTGTATATTGGGCCTACCTGGATCACTCAGCAATCCCCAGAGGGAGACTGAGCGGTAGTCATTCTATTCCACAGCCAAGAAAACCAGGGTACAGAGAGGTCAAGTGAATTACCACATACCCAAGAAGAGAAAGTGAGCCTGTACTTAACCTTAGCTCTTCATTCTTTCTGAGGCCCTCTTCCCTGCAGTCCTGACCCATGGCCTCATAGCAGCTTGCTTCTGAACTCAGCCGGATCCATTCCAAAGGAGCAGCCCTGAGTGTCTGAGCTCTGGGAGCTTTGGCCTCTCTTCTCCATTTGCCCTAGTGGTTCCAGCATCCTTGGCTATGATTCCAGGAAATGTCAGTGGATACAGGGCAACACTTCCCAGATGTCCTCTCCTCCTTAAATATTCAGGAACAGAGCAAGCACAATTCATATTTCCCAACAAGCCTCCTTAGGCCTTGATGTCCAGATGCCCTGTAGCTCCTCCCTCCTGTCTCTGCAGCTGCCCTCCGAACCTGCCCCATTCTCTCACCTAACCCATGTTTGTCCTTTAAGAGGAGGAGCCAGCTGAGCTCCCTATGGTCACAGCCACTCCAGCCCCTGCTCCAGACATGAAGGGTGATCAGGAGAAGGATCCTGGTGGCCAGGTAGGCGCCCGGCCTCTGTACAGCTGGAGAGATTTCTGAGGCCAGGGAAGGACTTTCTGGCTAAAATACTTCCTCCCTGAAGGCCTAAAATCCTGCTTTAGCTTTATTCCTCTGGGGTGAACACTGCCCCTTCTCTGAAATCATTTGAAAACATGCATACATTTTCCAGGGCAGTAAGTTCATGGCAGTGTGATATAATGCATATCAAAATGTTATATATTGCCACATGTTCTAAGAACAAAAGGAATTGTCAATGTGTCAGCAAAGCAACCAAGAAGCAGTGAGACCAGGTTGCCCCAGACCACCAGGCAGCTTAAATGTGGTGAGAGGGCTGCTAGATAGGGGCCCTGTCCTGTCCTGAGGCCCCTCAATGCTGCTGAACCTCACTTCATCCTATCCGTATGGTTTTCTGAGTCTTGACACCGCTTTGCCTCTCGAGCCTCCTCTTCCACTGTGCTTTGGCCAAACTGAATTTGTCTCTGCACTTTTCTACTTCCAAGCCTTGCTCATATCATTTCTTCTCCTTAGAATGCCTCCCTTATCTCCTGATAGCCTTATCTGGTCTGATATAGGCACATGGCTCCTTTGCTATGAAACTTGCCCCGTGCGCCCTAAATCCAAATGTTCATGGGGCATTCATCACTACCTCCTCTAGTTTCCCTATGGTGAGGTTCCTGAAGGCAGAATCCAAGTCTGAGCCATCTCTAGCTCTACCTCAGAGAGAAACTTCATGCCTAGCACATGCAGTACTCAATACAGGTTGAGTGACTGGCAGGCAGTGAAGAAGCCTTCAGTTTGCAAGTTCTAGCCCTGTTTTTTTTTTTTTTTTCTATTTACCACCCAGAAGCACAATTTTCTCTCATCCCTAGTCTAACAATTTAGGGCTCAGCCTTTAAGGCATTGTCCTTCCTGGTATCTGAGTGCTGAGTAGACCCTTTATTGCCAGCTCATGTGAAAAGGAACAAGAGGATGCAGTAGCCTCAGCAAAAGAATGAGCACCTGTGACTCCATTGGCTGCCCTCTCTTCCCTGCCTTCATTGTGTGCAGACTCTATGTCTATGAAGTTTACAAAGGCACCTGTGACTCCATTTGCTGCCCTCTCTTCCCTGCCTTCATTGTGTGCAGACTCTATGTCTATGAAGTTTACAAAGGCACCTGTGACTCCATTTGCTGCCCTCTCTTCCCTGCCTTCATTGTGTGCAGACTCTATGTCTATGAAGTTTACAAAGGCACCTGTGACTCCATTTGCTGCCCTCTCTTCCCTGCCTTCATTGTGTGCAGACTCTATGTTTGGTTTCAACCCTAAACTATCAGCCCAGCCCACCAGTCCCCAGGAATCCACCAGAGACCAGTTTCTAGTCTTAACCCAAATCACAAGTCAGGGAATATAGCATGTATCAAGTCAGCTGTAGGGTGGGAAAGGTGGGGTGCCTTCACTGCAACATAGAAAGAAGGGAGCCATTGTTCTGGGGCTATTAGGGGTGCAGTCCTCAGGAAAGATGGGGCAGCTGAGTAGTCCCACACCTAATGATTTAGATGAATTGCTAACCTAGGGAAGCTGCTCCCCTGATGGGGAGGAGGGAAGCAGCAATGATTTCAGATGAATCTTTTCACTCTTCAATCCTAATTCAAAGCCCACACATCCCCCAGATACTTGGCGTTTTCATCAATCAGAGTCTCAACCCTGGATGTATATTAGGATAAGATGGAGTTTAAAAAATTGTCCCTTGCCCACCAACTGAGTCAGTATAGCTGGGACAGGTTCTCTGGCCTCCCATCTTAAGACAGCTCCAGGTCATTTCCTATATGCAGCAGAGTTGAGAATCAAATATCCTTTGCGGGGGTTGCCAGCATCATGACATTTGCTATAGGTGATATGTTTACTCCCTAAGCACACAGGTCTTTGCTCAAGGGGCTGGAATAGCATGTTACAGGTTAGTTTTGGACTTAATCTGGGATCATTAGAACCACTGGTTTTTAGTGTGGAGTCCATCTGAAGCTGTGCAGGTGAATGCACTAGAATACCCGTGAGCATGTGAGCTACAAACCACTGGCTTCCAATCCCAGAGATTCTAAGTCAGTTTATCCGGTGCTTGGAAATCTGTGTATCTAATAAGATCCCCAAGCTAACAATTTTGAGAGCCAGCAGCTCATTCAGCCCTGGCATGTGTAAGGCAGGGTAGCTTGGTGGTTAAGAGGCCAAGAACTGAACTGTATATTTTCAAATCCCAGTGTCATCACTTGCAAACTGTGGATCATGGGCAAGTTATTTAACTTCTGTGTACCTTAATTTCTTCACCTGTAAGATAGGTGCAATTCTATGTATATCATGAAATAGAGTGAACACTTATTATTAAACTACTTACTATGGCAACTGGCATGTAAGAATGTACAACAAATAGGTATTATCACCATCTTACAAATGTGTTATAACAGGAGTTTTAGTAGACTTAGCAAAGCGTTGTGACCAACAAGGGTATCATTGGGCAATGTGGAGGGGGACCTAGTACCTAAGACAAGGGAGGGGTAGTCTTGTTCCAGTGTGTGTAGGTTCTGTGTTCAGTACTGGATGTCCCTTTATGGGGTATGGCTAATCAGAACGAGTTTATCTAGCTCTGGTGGAGGCTCTAAGCCATAGTAGGTGGAGTGCTAGAGGACTTAGGAATCTTCTGTTCACAGAGGGACTGTCCTGTGGAAGAGTAATTAGGCTTGTTCTGTATGTCTCCAGAAAGTAAACCTCTGTGTGGTGGTGAGGCTTTGATTAGACACAGACTTCAAAGCAGTTAGTGCTGTTAAAGTTAGGAGCTGCTTCCAGTGGTGAGTTCCCCAGCCCTAGAAATGACAAAATAAAAATGGGACAACCACTGGATGGGAATGTTGTGATGAGAAGTTTGTTAGATCATTGCACCAGTTTTCTCCTCTGAACATTTAACTGTTCAGATACACTCTGAGAACAACAACAAAACAAAATGTGGGAAAAAAATGCAAAAAAAAGGCAAGCAGAGATATTACCACACATTAATCTTTTCACTTTGGATTGCGGGAAGATGTGGCTGGAGCTGAAAACATAGGAGATGTGACAGGTGAAGAGGGTGAAATTCAACCAGGAAAAGGGGAAGCTGAGGCAGAAGGAAAAGAAGGTGAACATGGAGAGGAAACTGAGGCAGAAGGAAAAGATGAACACCAAGGGGAACTGAGGCAGAAGAAAAAGAAGATAAACAAGAAGGGGAAACTGAGGCAGAAGGAAAAGAAAATGAACAAGAAGGGGAAACAGGTAGGAGGAAACAATGAACAAGGAGAAACTGAGGCAGAAAAAGAAGAGCATGAAGAGGAAACTGAAGCAGAAGGAAAAGAAGATGAAGATGAAGAGGAAGGTAAAATTCAAGCAGAAGACAGTGAAGTAAAAGGTGGTGGAGGTGAAACGAAAGACAACATTAAAAATCAAGGTGAGGCCGCCAAAGAGAATGGTGCTGATGGTGAGGGCAGAAGTGATGGAGAAGACAGTAAAGAGGAAGAGGATGAGGCTGATGAGGAGGAAGAGGAAGAGGAGGAAAATGAGGAGCCTCTGTCCCTGGACTGGCCTGAGAGCAGGCAGAAGCAGGCCATTTACCTATTCCTCCTGCCCATTGTGTTCCCACTGTGGCTGTGCCTGACGTCCGGAGGCAGGTGAGTATCCAGCTGTGCCTCAGGCTGCCTATCCTGGAGGTTGTAGGGCCTCCAGGTATCAGGAAGAAGGCTGGGAAACCTAGACAGGTAGACTTCATCCCTGAAGACATTGAGTGGGACTAGAGCTCTGGAGGAGGACCATGTGCCAAGGGATATATATATCACTGGGTTAGGAGCCTGAGACCTCAGGTGTGCCTTGTGTCTGCCACTATAGGCAGTGTGAACAAGTTCCTCCCTGATTATGATGTTTATTTCCTGGTCTTAGTTTAGGAACAATGCCCCTGTACCCAGAACACAAGGGTATTCTGAAAACCCAGTGGTAACTGCCATTTCTAGTGATTGTTCTCTGTAGGGAAAGGTCTGACTAACACGTACTCCACCTAAAATCTGCCTCTGGGTCCAGCAAGCAATTGGGCAAGAGGGAAAGTACAAAATCTAAGCCCAGTACTGATTCTACAGCAAGCACATAGCTCTCTCCAGCCTGATGCCTGTTGAATACTGAACAGGTTGGGCTCCCCTGTATCCCTCTGCCTATTGGCTCCAGGGCTTCATAGGGAGAGGGCCTCACCTCTATGCACACCTCTTCTGATTCTTATTCTTCCACCAAAATTCAGCACTGACTTTGGGCCAAAGGTCAGTAGCCCCTGCAGCTTACTTTTTTTTTTTTTTTTTTTTTTTTCCTTTTCTATCATTCCAACAGGAATCCAGGAAGTTTTTTTGTTATTACCTTCCTGGGATCCATCATTTGGATAGCTATGTTCTCATACCTCATGGTGTGGTGGGCTCACCAGGTGAGTGAAAAGAGCTCAATCCTGAATCAGCAGGTTCCAGTGTTTTCCATTCAAGATGAATTTCCAGTATCCAGGCACCATCAAGGATCAAGTGAATTGGTGGTTTCCATGCTGTTTGTAAAGACTTTAAAAGTAGTTTTATTCCATTGTAATGGAATGCTTTCCTGTCTTTTTTTTTTTTTTTTGAGTCAGGATCTCCCTGTAGCCCCAGCTGGCCTAGAATTCACTTTGTAGACCAGGCTGGCCTTGAATTCATAGAGACTCACCTGCCTCTGCCTCCTGGAGTGCTGGGATTAAAGGCATGTGCCACCATACCCAGCATGCTTTCCTTCTTAACTTGTATTCATACTGTAGCATGATAAAGAAGGCCCTTCACATCCTGATTCCAGTAGATCAGGCTGGCCTGCACCCCAAACTGGTGAAATCCCTTCCCCTGCTCTGAGCTTGTTCAGCTGTGTCTGCTGGCTGGTATTGTACCAGTCTTCACCTGAGCACCCAGAGCTTCTCTATTCTGCCCAGACGCACTTAGCACAGAGCTGCAGCTGCCAGCTTTTCTCTCACTAGGCTGAAAGTATGGTTAGTACTACCCATATTTCTATCTGCAGCCCCGATTAACTCCTGACACATGACAGGGGTCATGTTTCCAGAAAAGAAATGTCAAGATTGTTGGAGGGGCACTTCTCTGGGGCAGGTAGAGTTGTTACAGTTGCAATGACAGTGAGGGGCAGGTCTAGTATCATGAGACTTCTGGTCCCCTGAGTGAAGAGCAGTGTGGTTCCCTGCATCCTGAACAAGGACCTTGTTCTTTGTCCCCACCCCCCATTGGCAGAAGGCATTCGCAGAGCTGCTTTAGCAGCTGCTCTGCTTGTAGTTCGCTATTGGTGCTGTGCAGTCTGTTTTTCACCTGTGGTTGCCATGGTTTCTCATCACTGTTGCTGTTTTACCAGGTTGGTGAAACCATAGGGATTTCTGAAGAGATTATGGGCTTGACAATCCTAGCAGCAGGCACGTCAATTCCTGACCTCATCACCAGTGTGATCGTTGCCCAGAAAGGCCTGGGTGACACCGGTCAAGCTCAGTGGGCAGTAACATATTTGATATTACTGTGGGGTGAGTGGCAATATTACATTCTAAGGCATATTAAGTGTAACTGGAAACATTGCATTGGCTCTGCTGGCTGTTTTTCTGCTTCATTTATTATACATGCAACAAAAGGACATTTGTACATTAATTTCTAAGAGGCAACAAAGTATCCTTCCACTCATCATAGCCTGAAATGTAACTGACTGGAATTTACAGATGAATTGAAAAGTAAAGGCTATTCATTCAACACCCAATACAGTAAAATACCATCCTTCAAGGAGATGAAGGGGTTGGAAGGAGCCATTTCACTCCTGCTCCTCCACACGTGGGCTTCTGCTAGCTCAGAGGCTTTAAATAGCCTCCTGTAACCCCCCCTACCCTGTCCCCCAGTGCGGTCATAGCAGAGTTTCTGGGCTGTTTTCATCTCCCGTGTCATGTCCTGGATTTGGTACTTCGACTTGGAATTTGTGTATATGCACTCTAGGGAGGGGCAGTATAAGCATCAGAGAGCTCTGATTACAAAAGACTTTAAAGAAAATTCATCCTGATGTAGGTCTTAATAGAAACTCAGTGATTAGTCACACATTGATCTAGGTTAGTCATAGAGAGGGTGGGGGAGGGGAAGAGTTCATACCCAGGGCACTGCTTTCAGTTTTTTTTGAGACAATCTCACTGGCCTGTCTAGACTCAAATTAAAGATCCTCCTGCCTCAGCACTGTACTATCACACCTAGCCCAGAACACTTGGCTCTCTGAGCAATTAGCTCTGAGCCCTTAGGGAAGTAATTTTGTTTCCCCGGACCTTTATTTACTCACCTGTGAAATGAGGTTAATAATTTCTTCTCTACTTCATACTCTATGTGAAAAACAAGTGCTCTGTAAACCTTAAAACCCTAATCAAGTACCCCAGGGTTATTATAAACATAGTGACTATTCTTGTTTCTTTGATCTTGCAGTTTGCCTGTCCCCTGGCTGCTCTTTTCTCTCATCAACGCACTGCAGCCTGTTCCAGTCAGCAGCAATAGCTTGTTCTGTGCAATTGTTTTGCTTTTTCTCATGCTCCTGTTTGTGATCTTCTCAATTGCATTGTGTAAATGGAGGATGAACAAGATCTTGGGCTTCACGATGTTCCTTCTTTACTTTGTATTCTTGATAATCAGTGTGATGTTAGAAGATCGAATCATATCCTGTCCTGTTTCTGTCTGACTCAGTCACCGATGCTCAGAATGGACACAGATCAGAAGAACATGCCAGAAGTTACTGTCCCTCTTGTTACATGAATGAAAGAATGGACATGATCAGGAAAGTGAACTGGGAAGTCCAGACCCTTCATTACTGAGATGTCTCCTTGGAAACACCTGCAGCTCCTGGTAGATTAAGAGCCTTACCTTGGAGAGGTGGAGTTCCTACTGAACTCAGGCAGGCAGCTCACATATGGGCAGCAGCAGGGCTCCTGCAGCCACAGGACTTTCCAAATGAGAAGTGGGGTGAGGGCTGGGACAGCAGAAGTAAGACAAGCTCCCTTGCTCACAATTCCTTCATTGTCAGTGGCTCGCTCTCCTGGCTCCTGCCCCAAGTGCAGCCTGCAATGTGCTATTTCTTTTGGTTCAAGTGTGAAGTCCCATCAGGTCTGCAGTCATTCTAAGTTCAGTTAATGAATTTAAGGAGCTAAGTCTACAGGAAAAAAAAAGTGTAGCAGGAATCAATTATCATTCTACCCCATAGTCCAGTAAAATGCATGCCAGTGTTTTGTAGGTTAAAAGGAAGACATTAGCTTTCATTGTTGCATTTCAGAAAAATGAAATTAAAACAGGAAGCAGTCTAAAGAGATGAAAATGTATAATTTGCCTTGAACTGGAAGCACAGATTTGAGAAAGAAAACTACTCTTAGTTAGAGTGGTTCAAGTTTGTGTTGTCTCCATTGGTGGTCATCTTGAAGGACTACAGAGTCTGACACAGCTGCCCTGGGTCTGCCCCTGCAGCATGTTCTCACCCAGCAGTGACAATTGTCACTAAGGAGTGAAAGGGATGTATGCATAGAGAGTCAAATCTGGCTTATAAAGCAAGAGATCCAGGGCTCAATGTTATTTTTGAATGCCAACTTGGATTCTTAAACAAGGAGATTGGTTCCTTGTATGGTTTATAAGTAGATCTTAAGGCAATTTATAAAGGAGAGATTCCAAAAATGCTTAACACAATGACAACATACTGGGGAAGGGGGGAAAGAGTATCACTCTTTCTCCTTCTTTTCTTCTTCTTCTTCTTCTTTTTTTTCTTGAGACACTGTCTCATTATGTAGTCCTGGCTAGCCTGGAACTTCCTATGTAGACCAGGCTGGCCTTGAACTCATAGAGACTGGCCTGCTCTGCCTCCTGAATGCTGGGATTAAAGGTGTGTGCTACCATGCCCAGCTGAGTATTACTATTTCTAAGGTAGCAAAGAACACTTGGGTTTTTTAAAAGGCATGATTAAATGTTTTATATGGAATTTCATATGCTTGCATATCACATACTATTGGTTGCTGCTTTTACTAGCATCAAGTTAAGAGACACATTAGAAATAAAAGTTTCATATCATTGGTTTCAAAGCACAAGGAGTTTGTCTTAAGTGTCTCCAGATTATGGTGGCAAATACCATTTAAATGATAAACATGAGGAATGGCCTGCTAACATGATAACAAGAGTAGAGGTGAGATTTAGAAAAATCCATCATTTTGGTGTTGGGAGGGTGAAGGTAGTCCAAGCATCCTATCTTTTAAGTTGAAGTGATTTATTTATCTCCATACTTCTTTAGGATTTCCATTCTTTGGAAGTAACTTTATTAAATTTCAATGAAAACTATGAAGTCCAGTGATATTTTATTTTACAGACATAGACAGGTTCATTCCATTTTCAAGAGAAGACTGATAAAGAATATGATATTATGGTTAAATCCCATACTTTGTGTGTTTGCATGCATGCATAGGCTAGAGGTTGATTCTGGGTTTTTTAATCACTTTCCATTTTACTTTTTTTGAGACAGGGTTTGGTACTGAACCTGTAGCTCACCAATTAGACTATACGGGCTGGTCAGGAAGCTCCAGGGATCCTGTCTCTGCCTCCCCAGTTCTGGGGTAACAGGCACCCACCTTTTATGTGGGTCCTGGGGACCACAAAGTCCTCATGCTCATACAGCAAGCATTTTACCCACTGAGCCATCTCCCTAGCTCCTCAATTTTCATATTCTTAACTACCCTCATTCTTAATGCAGCTGTTCTGTGAGGCATCTATAGGCCTTGGCCTAAGAACAGAAAAGAACAATCCTGTGTAAGGTAGAGCCTAATACCAAAATTCTGGGTGCCAACCTGCTGTTGTCAGCCAGTTCCAGCTTGCCTCAAGGATATGACCTTGGCCAATAGCCTGAGGTCTGATGCTCATTAGGCCCAGTGAGGAGTGGTAGGCAAGTGAGATGTTCCACAATGACAAAGCGCTAAGATAGCCACTTAATGATTAAAACTAACTCCAAGTATCTCACATCCTTTCCCCATATCAAACAAATTTCTGGCATTTTCCTTTGCCCACAAAGGAAATTCTGATTCCTTCACATTCTGACAGGCAAAGACAAACACAAAAAATAGAAGCTGGATTTTGGCAGATGAGTGTGAATTCACTGGGGCAGAAAAAAGATTTCAGGGACACAGAAAACTTGTGGAACTTCTAAAAAAATAAAACCCCAATTTGTTATGCTTAGAAATCAAATTTGTGAAGCCAGGCATGGTGGCGCACGCCTTTAATCCCAGCACTTGGGAGGCAGAGGCAAATGGATCTCTTGTGAGTTCCAGTCCAGCCTGGTCTACATAGAGTTCCAGGCCAGCTGGGGTTATGGGGAGACTCTGTCTCAAAAAGACCAAAAAAAGAAAAAAAAAATCAAATTTGTGTTATATATTTACAAACTCACTATAACTCACTAAAAGTATGTTTTTAAAGAAGTAAAATAACATGTTAACATGCCAAGATAATATTAAGATGGCCTTTTTAGTTGCTAGGCAAAGGAACCTGTCAAAGTACCTGGGATAAATTCTACCTCACTCACTGAGCCTAGAAAGTCTGAACTGTCCCACATGGATGTCTGAACTGGAACAGTGGCTCCAGGGATGGCTTCTCCATTTCCCTGGAGTTGCATTTCCTTGACGGCCAGCTTTCTAAAAGATGTAAAGCATTTCCTGATTAAATGTGTTAAGCTTCTACATAGAAAATGAAAAGTGGACCTATTTGAAATTTCAAAAATTGGTATGTTTTTAAATGGCTATTGCATCCATTTTGATTATTATATTGACTGCCACCAATAGATCTGAAAATGGGTTTGTTTTCCGAAATAACACTCTATCAGATTCTCATTTATTTAATGACTGAGTTTTGAAGGGGGCAGGAATTGGAATTTATATTGAGAGTATAGCTTAGTAGATAAATAGAAATAAGTGGTTGGCTTTATGTGCCATTGAATACCATTGGTTCTAACACCATTTTTGTGGGAGGGTTCCCCTGCAGATGTAGCCTGCAGTGTGTTCTGGTGAAACTGGGGAGAAAGAGGGTCCCCTAGAGGGTTCTTAGTCTCATTCATAAAAGAAATTAAGAATGGACCCAAACGGAAGCTTTTACAATTTTATTAGCTTCTTAAAGAAAAATCCTCAGGTCAGGTGAGCTGGTCATCTTGGCAGCTGTCTTTTGAGGAGGTGAATAATGGGAAGAAGGAAAGAAAGCCATGGAAGCCATGCAGGTTTAGAGCCTGCATGGAGGTCAGACACATGACTGGGAGAAGGAAGTTTAGAGAAAAAGTGAAGAACTACAAGATGCTAGGGGCAGCCCTGTCTTAGAGAAAGCATGTTTGGTAAGAAAGGCATGAAAAAGAAAAGGAGAAATTACACTGAAGAGTTCAGGAAAGCAGACAGACTTGTTACAGAGACTTACATGGCTCTGGCTGGTCTGGAAGTTCTGTGGGTGTCTGAGCTAGTTCCAGGCAGAAATATTTGTTACCATATTAACACACTAGGTATTCCACCCATCTATTTAGCATAACTTAAGGTGACCCTGCCTTCTTGGGAGTGGTTCTATCACCAGGTAATTGACCAGTGAGATTGGAAAAGTAGGTCCTCCAACAGATAGACTAGACAATTTTATACTCTGGACCAGTTCAATTTATTGATATTCTAACACTGGGACTGGTCTCTATTAAAGGTACAGAGAAAGGGCTCATGAGCAGGCCTGTTCATCCCTGGAGGAGGGGGTGGCACTAGAACCTGGCCAGGATATCCAGGGCCAAGTCATCCTGCATAACTAAGGTGTACTTCTGGTCTTTAGACCTTTCTGTATAATGAGAGAGTAAAACCTGAAGAATTTCCTTTATAGACTAGTCCACCAGTTGCTCCAATTAAAAAAAAAAAATCACTTGGAAATTAATCTGTAGACACTAGAGGGAGCCATCTACAGGAACAGCAACTGTGGAAGGACAGTGGGAACTTATCAGCAAAGTCCACTGCCATCTCAGAGTATATGCACATGCACAGACTTTTGGAACCACACAATTCCTATAGTGACTTGTGCAGTGCTTCTCTTGAAAACATGATAATCTGGCCAGTGAATGGGCTTTCTTTGGAGATCTCAGAGAAAGGTGGTGTGAAGGGCTAAGACACCAAGTCCCAAGGATGTTTAATGTGAAATGAAGGCAATGCAGCTGCTAGAGTTCAAGTCACATAGAGCTTAGTGTTAAATCCAAACAGGATGAGGCAGAGCATTCTAATTCCATCATAAGGCCAAGGGCCTCTTCAAAAGGGCAACTGACTTTTTGCTTCTTACTCTGACACAAAGTGCCTAGCAGCAGCTTTTAAATTTCAGTGGAAGAAGGGCTGGGGAGATGGCTCAGCAATTAAGAGCACTGGAGGCTCTTGCAGAGGACCAGAGTTTGATTTCCAGCACTCATGTGATGGTTAACAACCAGTTCCAGGGGATCTGACACCTTTTTCTGACCTCTGTGGGCACTGCACGAGATGGGTGCACTTACATACATGCAGGCAATACACTCATACACATAAAATAAAAACGATAAATAAAATATTTTAAAAATTTCAGTGCGAGACATCTGCGTATGGTAGGGTAAGGCTGAGACCTTAGCAGATAGCCTGAGAGTGCCTGATTTGGCCTCCATCTGGTGTAGGGGCTGAGAACTCAGTAGCTGCCTGGATCCGGCCTGGTATAGATGGAATCCCACTGAAATGGGCCAACAGCCCATGGAGAACAGACAATGCAGAGACCAGAAAGTTCAGTGCCTTGCCACAACAGGAGGAAGGTCATCCCACACCTACTACCCCCTCCAAGGCTCAGGGACTTTTGTGCAAGAGGTTGGTGGAAAGAATGTAAGAGCAGGAGGAAGGGGTGGAGTGTTAACTGGAAGTGATCTCTGACCACTCTGCCAGCAAGCTATAGTCACACTTCCTTCCCATGCTCACCAAGGGAGTCAGTTACCCTTCCCACCCAATCAGTGGACCTTAGCTGCATGTTGGGGAGGGCCTAAGGATATATAAGCCGAGAACGCCGTGAGGCACCTTTCTTGCCATTTTGTGTGGCTGTTGGGAAGTCACAGGATCTATATTTGAGTGTAGACTTTCCAGCTCAGTCATAAATGGGGGGTGGGGTGCCCACTCTTCTGTATCAATAAGCCCCCACCCTATGCTCTGTTAGCAAGCCCAATAACTAATTAGGATTTCAAAACTAGTTAGGATTTAAAAAAAAAAAAAAGAAGAGTGGGGCCAGCATGATGTTTTGGTGGATAAAGGTACTTGTTGCCAAGCCTGAGGACCTGAGTTGGGTCCCTAGGACCCACCTGGTGGAAGGAGAGAACTAACTCTCACAAGTTGTCCTCTGACCTCCACGTATGCTATGGCATGTGTGCAGACAAAGAGACAACAAATAAATGTAACAAAAAATTTAATATTTTTTTTTGAGACAGGGTCTCCTGATAGCCATAGCTGGCTTGGAACTTGTTATGCAGACCAGGCTGGCCTCAATATCAGAGATCCCCGCCTCTGCCTCCCAAGTGCTAGGATTAAAGGTGTGTGCTAGGATTAAAGGTGGCACACACCTTTAATCCTAGGAGGCAGAGGCAGGTGGATCTCTGTGAGTTCAAGTCCAACCTGGTTTATATAGTGAGTTCCAGGACAGCTGGGGCTACAGGGAGACCCTGTCTCAAAAAGACC